GGGACAGGACAGTAGATCATGGCAGGAATGCTCAGCAAAAGATGGTCTGTTCATCTCTTGGAGACTGGAAAGCAGGGAGAAATAAGAAGGAGATAGGAGTCATCATATCCTCCTTGAAAGACACACTCCCAATGACCTAACTTCCTCCCACAGATCTCAGCTCCTAAGGCTTCCCTCACCTCCCTATAGGATGATAGGATGGTGGAGAAGCCTTTTGCACTTGAGCCTTTCCAGATCCAAACATAGTGCTCAGGAAAATGGTCTTTACTCTTAGGGCCATCAGCTTTTAGAGGATGGGGCACGTTATGTGAATCATCCGCTGGACTCAGAGTCCACTGAGACCTTGGAAATGTTAATCACAATGAAGAAACACCTTCACCTAGACACCATGCGCAAGTTAAGTTGACACATAAAATTAACCATCCCATCACAGGACTGGGAAGGGGTAAATAGGAGAAGGGTAAAAACCACAGCCTCTCACTGTGGTCAGTTGATTATCAAGTAGATTTTCATCTCATGCTTCTCTGTAAAGGCTGCCAAACACATTTTCAGGGTCCAGTCCACTAGCAGAAAAAATATGAGATAGTAGGAAGTGAATAGTAGGGCTTCATGAGCTTGAGAGAACGCAATGTATAAGTATATTTGAGGGGGTTAGGGAGGTAGGTCCACACTTAAAGTGTGTGCTGACATTGCAGAGCATTCAAGTTCAGTTCCTAATAAGCAAACAGGCAGCTGACATTTGTAACTCCAACTCCAGTTGATCCAACACCTCTTACCTCTGTATGCACCTGCACTCACATTCACCTACCTACACATAGACACATAATTTAAAATAAAATAAATATTTTTTAAAATAAGTGTACTCAAATTCAAACAAATAAAAAAAATGGTGGCAAGTGGGCTGTGTGGCTCTCTACCTTTTTAAGCTGGATGGTGGTGCAAGCACGTTGGCAGGTGAGGCATATGGGGCCTGGAGAATGACATCCCTGAGATTGGCCTGACATTAGCCTGGCTGCTCAAGAGAGCGCTAATCTCTTCCTAGGCTTAGATGGAGCTGTGTGCAGGAGTTTGCACTTGAAGGAAATTCACGCATACCTCTGTTACTGCCAAGGGACCCCGTGGAAAGAACCAAGAAGCATCTGGCACTTGGAGGAGTTTCTAGCAACCACTGCGGTGACTGTTTCAAGGGACCTGGCAGCATAGACACAGCCTACCACAGTAATCACACTGGCATCTCACATGCAATCGCTGGAGGCTATTAGACAAGCAGGCTGTTCGGATATTTGCTGGGCCTTGCTGTAAACCTTGTCAGACTTGAACTCCCAGGTACAGAGGGTTGTAGATGGTTGAAACGGGCTGCAGAAAGAGCCTGGCTGATTGGGCTTGTGGGCTTGTAAGACCCCAGTGTTGCTCGAGGGTCATTTCCACTCCTGTGTCTCTGCAGTGTAAGCATCATGTGGAACAGATGGACTAAAACTCCCCTATGTGTCTCCACATCATGAAACTTACTCTCTCTGTGCAATCCCTGCCGTCAGGTGTGAGCAAGCCTGATGAGTGCTCTCTCGCTTCTTCACGCACTGTGCTCAGCACAATGCATGTGACTCCCCCAAGTGTGAGGTGCTGTTTCTACGCACAACATGTCGTCAGTTCAGTTCTCCAGCAACTCCAGCTTTGCCTGAAGCTGTGCCTGCAGCTGTGCCCCAGGTTTGATTCTGACCTGGCCATCTGGAGGAAGCATCTGGCCTAGTAGATTGAGGACTCAGTCTCAGAAGACTGCCTCCCTTCACATGACAGTACCGAGCTTCAGGTTGTGACCAACTATAAATTGGGGATCCCATGATACCTTCTCTGGGTTCAATTAACCTACTAAAACAGCTCACAGAACTGAGGGAAGCACCTTACATACACGTACCCACTAATTACAAAAAGATATTTTCAAGGCTACAAACATGGAGTCAGATAAAGGGATGTATAAGGTAGGATATAGAATAGTCTCGTGCACAGAAATTCCTACTTTGTGGAGTTGGGGTGTGCCACCCATCAGGCAACCTCCAACCAACAATCTGGTAAGAGACCCTTAGTCTATCAAGTTGAAAGAAACTACATCTTGTCAAGCATCAGATGTGAGGAGAAGCAAACCCTTCCCAGATGAGCTTTTTGATGAGAATCCAGCTCCAGCTCACACATTGACCATAGCCTGAAAGGAGAAAACCTGAGCAGCTGACTGCTGAGCAGTATCTCCATACTCTCTGCACGACATCATGCCATCAACGTTGGTAGCCATCAACGACTAGTGCAGGATGCAATTTCTAAGAAAGAAACAAAATGTGACGTGAGCTCACTAAAGCTCACAAATAGCAGTGGGAAAATCTTGACAACAATGATATCCAGGAAGGGCTCCCTGTCTGACAAGAGCAGAAGCCAGTGCTGTACACCGGGGTTCTGCAGAAAGATAAAGCGTTATCACACAGTCGATGATCAAAAGAGACCAGAAGCCAAGAAGAAGCTCCGCTCTGCCTCCCCAGTGGTCTGGTGGCAGGGTTCATGGAAGGAAGAGAGGAGACACTGCTTGATGATTGGGTGATGAAAAGGAAGGGGCTTTTAGGAATCTTTTACAGGGACCCAGAGGGTCACGGTGTCTTTTTAGAAACCACATGCTTCCTTACAGCAGAGTTATGCTCTGAGCTGGGAAGTTTGAGTTTATGATGTCCACACTTTTAATTCCAGCAGAAGTGGATGGATCTCTCTGAGTCCTAGGCCAGCCTGATCTACATAGCAAATTTCAGGACAGCCAGGGCTACATAGAAAGACCTCATATTAAAAGGAAAAATAAATAAAATGAAAGGTCACTGGCCCAATGAGCTGGCTTTTGTGCATATCATATTGAAAAGTTGGATTACAATTGCCTTTGAAAAGATTCTAGAAGCTTTCCTGAAAAGATAGCTTTAAACACTCGAGTTCAGAGAGTTTTTGTCTGGGTGTATGCAGTCCATAGCCAATTTCAACAAGAGACTTGACACATTGCCTAAAGAAGGGAAAACCCCTTAGGGAATTCCAAGAAAGAAAATCTCATGGACTTCCCCAGGGAATAGAAAGGCCCCTGGGAAGTGGGGTATTTTGTTAGGTGGTGAAAGACCAGAGTAAGAAATCGTACAGAGTTGCTCAGTGCACTGTAACAACAGTGAAGATTGCCTACATATGACATCGGGCTGTAAGAGGGCTCCATCTTGGTGAGTCCTCATTTTGTTAGGGTGAGCCACTGTGTGTGTGTTTCCCAAGCATGCCATGAAGGCAGTTAGGTCAGGCAGTGTTCAGTCCCAGATATGTGTGGTGGGAAGTGCAACGAGTGGTTAAAAGGAGCCACACTGCATGTCCTTTTTCATTGCACAGTCCCTGCCCTGCAAATGACAGCATCTTAGCAGTGGTGTGGGGTGATGGCTAACTGGTTTGTTTGGCTCCGCCATTTTACTATTCTACTCTCTGGGTGGAAGAAAGCCACAGCTTTTCTGCTTGGGAATGCTTTCTGAATGAGGCTGACAATGGCCAGTCCTTTTCTGGTTGCTCCATGTGGCCTTCCCTCCACATCATGGATAGTGTGGGAAAGAAGGAAACTTCATGAGTAGACTAAGAAAGCCTGGTGGTGGGATGGTAGGACAAAGTTAGAGTGACAGGTGGCCAGGTGAAGGCTGAAGTTCTGGGAGCCTTGCATGAGTGAATACGATATTATACTGGTAGGTGGGACTCCAACTGAGATCCCAAGAGGCATTGCTGCTCATGGGAAAATGCCTTCCTCCATGCTTGAATACACGGGCCATTGATGAAGATTTTTGTATCAGAAGCTTGGGCTCAACAGTGGGTATTTGTAAACATGGAAAGAAAGACTTTGATTTCTACCAAGCACAGTGCATACCAAGGCTGTCATTTCATGTGCACAGTTAACAACCAACATAATAGTGCCAGCTTATTTTAAGTTATCATGAGGGATAAGTGTCTTATACTCCCCAAGAGTGGTGACAGAGAATTACTGGACACATCATGACATGAAAAGGTGTGTCCTGGTCTGCTGAAGCTGTACAGAGTTTTGCTGGAACAGCTGAAGCCATTCAGCAGACACTGGGGGAAAAGCCCAAAGTTGAGGACAAGGGCATAAGCTTTAGCGTGGGTATAACATCAGCTGACAAGGCCACAACTGCGTGGGTATAACATCAGCTGACAAGGCCACAACTGCTGCTGTAAAAGATGCAATGGAATACAGAATTCAGTTTACCTGCAAAAATATTGGGCAATTAACTGGCTAACAAGGATATAGCCCCTGCATTTGAGGAAAGCCAGATTCCCACGGGAAGACCTTCCAGGGCACAGCCCCAAAGAGAGGAAAGGCTGGAAGATAAAAATAATTCTATGACTCAGTTTCACGCTAGGAAAAGCCGACACTGGCAAAAGGTCTTCTCTTTCTTTGATATTTCTTGGTCTAAAGTTAAAAGGTTATATATCCTTTTACTTATAAAATAATAAGGACATAAAGTTAAAAAAACAAGAAATACAAATAGAAACAACCATATAGCTAAATGAACTGTGTAAGAGATCCAGGGTGTGGCCTCATATCTGCGTAACTGATACCCACACTTCATACCTGGCTGGAGAGTCTATTATGTTAATGCAAAGGGGTAATTTTCACCTCGAAGTGGCAAACCAACTTTCCAGAGTTTAAAGGAAAAGCCCACCTGACAGAGATGGCATGGTAGCAGGGGAGTCGGGGAGCTAGTGCATTAGGAAGCAGAGTGGAGGTAATAACTGGGAAGAGCCTGAGCAACCTCGAGACCTGTCTGCTATGACCCCCTTCTTCCAGCTGAGGCTCAGATGCCCTCTCACTCCTGCCAGTTGGGTTCCAAGCATCCAAACACTTGAGCTGATGGGGTAAATTCACCTTCAGTCAACAATTAGTTTAATTACACCGTCAGATACCCCTTTCTCCACTCACACACCCAGACCCCAAGAACATGGACATTGAGGTGCCTGCCATGCCACGGTTGGCACCTCCTGAGTCCACTATACAGAACTGGCTTCTGCCGGGGTCATCTGACAGCAATGGGTACCTGCATAGGGCGGGACTGTAAGGAAAGAAAGCAGCGTAAAGAAAGGTGGTGCAGCATTTGTCAGAGTTCTCTAGAAGAACAAAACTGATAGAATGGATATCTAGAGAGAGAGAGAGAGAGAGAGAGAGAGAGAGAGAGAGAGAGAGAGAGAGAGAAGGGGAATTTATTAGAATGATTTACAGGCTGTGGCCCAGCTGGTCCAACAATGGCTGTCATCTACCAACAAAAGAATCCAGTAGTTGTTCAGTCCATGAAGTTGAATGTCTAACTCAATCTTCAGTATATGCCAGAATCCTGCAGAAGTAGGCTCTAATGTCAAGTGAAGGAATGATCCTGGTAGTGAGAGAAAGAACAAGTAGGCAGAGAGAGCAGAGAGAGACTGGGTCTGGCATGGGCTATTGAAAACTGAAAACCCACCCACCCCAGTGATAGACTTCCTCCAACAAGGCCACACCTACTCCAACAAGGCCACACCTTCTAAATCCTTCTAATCCTTTCAAAGAGTTCCACTCCCTGGTGACTAAGCATTCGAATGTGTGTGTCTATGAGGGCCATTCTTATTGAAATTACTTCAGGTGGTAACTGAGTATGAGATGGACCCTAATGTACAATGATGCAGGAGGAAGGCTCTAGGGGAAAGAGGAAATCAGAGGTAGCCTATGCAGAAAGTGTTGAATCTGGACTGAGGAGGGGATAGCCAAAAGGGAACCTGAGCTGGGGAGGGAGGGAGTAATGTATGTCTCCACAGAGTAGGAAGTGATTGCCATGAAATTCATTGATTGATCCCCTGACTCTGTGTCTGGTTTTTTTTTTGTTTGTTTTTTTGTTTTTTTGTTTTTTTCCAAACCCGTGGCACCTCCAGTTTTTCCGGAGCATGCAGAGTCCTGTGTGTAACAACTTAGTCTGGGTTCCTTCCCTGGGGAACGCTTAAAGAGACAGTGACAAGCTAATAGACCAGCAGCTTAAGAATGCAGCGGTGATTTATTTTACTACTTAGGTGGGGTGCACTGGGTGACTCCTGTGGAGTTCAGCTGGGCCCAAATGACTGTGTCTTTAACGGGATGCACATCTGCTCTTACAACTATTGTAAACAGCACCAGCATCCACAATTTCAGTGCCCATGCCTGTCCAAGGTCAGATTTCCACTGAATGCAAAACAAACACGTTGGAAATCCTGTGATAACATTTTTCTGGGCTATCTGAGACATTCTTTTTACAGCTGTTTTGTTTTGGTTGGTGTTGTTTGGTGTACATGTCTAAAACCTGAGCTTTAGGGGGTGATTTAAGGCAGAGAGAGGCATGGCAGGGAGGAACCCTGTTAATGACCCCTGCTCTCGGAGAGCATTTTAAAAACAGACTTCAACTGCTTGAAAAGCAGGCAGCTAGCAGTCATTTGTTTTTCAAGCTTGTTACTCTCTGCCTTGAGTAACTCCCTTCAAAAAAAGCTCCTCCTCCACATCCTCCACTCTCCTTCCCTTAGCCCCTTTCCTGTACACTCTCAGCTTTTGGCCTCCCCTGGCCTGCTCCCCCTGGCCTCCTCAGCAGCAACCTGACACCTGGGCAAGAGATGGGATGGGCTAATCACTGGACCTGTAGCACCTGCTCTGCCACCAACCAGCTTGCTGGCCTCGAACCCACTCTCCACTCTCAGCCTGTGAGATGGCAGTGAGGAGAGGGAAGACCCATGCTCAGTGCCCAGGATGATCATTTATGCACAGTGAAGTTAAGTTACACACAGTGAAGTCTCCCAAGAATGAAGGCCTGGATGTGTCAGAGGATACCAATAGAAAGATCTAGAAAACAGTTGTTCATTCATGTCCCGAACTTAGAAGAAACATCAATGTGTGGATTACATTTATGAATCAGTTTTACTCAAGAGGAAAAATAATAATGAAATAAAAAGATACAAGGGATAATGCAATCATACAGTCATTTTTAGATAAATGGAAAAGAATCGGAGCTGGTAGTTGAAATCATGAACTAGAGGATCAAGTTCCACAGTGACAATCCCTTCCCTTCACAATGTACTTATCAGGTTGTATCCTGTGGTCTACACATAAAATGCCAGGTGGGGAGGGACCCTCAGGTGATCCTGAGGTCTGTCCTAGAGGCCCAAAGTCCTGTGTGCACTCCCACATGCCCACATAGGCCCACTGTAGGTCAGGCACAAACCCAGGTCCAAGAAGAGAGATCTTCAAGTCTCTGCAGTGGTGGAGATGGAGCCTCGGTGGTTCTGTCAAACTATACATTAACACAAAAGTAAGGGGCTGGGGAGATGGCTCAGTGCATGAACTGTTTGCTATAAAGGTTGAGGACCTGAATTTGGAATCCCAGAAGCCATGTCAGAGCAGGGAATGGCTGCCCACACTCATAACCTCATCACTGGGAGGAGCAGAAAAAGATGGATAGCGGAAGCTCACGGGCCAACCAGTATAGCTGAAATGATGGGCTTCACATGTAGTGAGAGATCCTGCCCTGCCCCCACAAAAGAGATGGGTAGAACTGGCAAGGTAGCTTAGCAGGTGTAGGTGTTTGATGCCAAATCTGACCTCCCCAGAAGCCACGTGGTAGAAGGAGAAAAATTAATTCCCTGAAGTTGTCCTCTGACCTCAGCCCACATGCTATGTGTGTGATAAGCACATGAACACAGTAAATAAAGACACTGATGTCCACGTCTGGCCTATGCATGTGCATGTATTGGCAAGCACCATCTATCTCCCTCTCCCTCTCCCTCTCCCTCTCCCTCTCCCTCCCTCTCCCTCTCCCTCTCCCTCTCCCTCCCTCTCCCTCTCCCTCTCCCTCTCCCTCTCCCTCTCCCTCTCCCTCCCTCTCCCTCTCCCTCTCTCCCTCTCTCTCCCTCTCTGTCTCACACACAAACACACACACACACACACACACACACACACACACACACACACACACAGCACCATCTATCTCCCTCTCCCTCTGTGTGTGTGTGTGTGTGTGTGTGTGAGAGAGAGAGAGAGAGAGAGAGAGAGAGAGAGAGAGAGAGAGAGAGTAAACAAATAAGTAAATAGAAATGTGAAATAAAAACTCAGCCAGGAGTCACGAAGGAGGAAGCCTGCAAGGTCAGGGTGGGGATGGGGTGCTCGACAGAAGCAGATCGGAATTGGTGTGGAAGCAGAGGCTGAAGAGAGAAGACAAGGCACATCTCAGAAGGGGCTTTGTGGCAGGGAGTAGAAGGTGTTCAAGGGCCAAGAGACAAGTTAGCCCAGGCAGACAGAAGAGGAGGGTTGTGAAGTTAGATTAGCTAACTAGTTGTCATGGAGCAATTGTGCAAGGGAAAAAAAATCCCCAGAAGCATTTGATAAAGCCTAGGGAATGTCTGCAAAGAAAAGAGAGTATGCTGAACCGAACTAATTAGATAAGCTAAAGATGCATAACAATGAAGGCTTATGATAGTAAATGTATTTAATGAATTTTAACAAATTAACTCAATTTAAAATCATTTAATCTCTTTGTGGAAAATGCTGTAACAGAGTGCCTAAACATTACTTGGATCGGAGCTGTGCTTGCTAAATAGTCTGCCTTGCTATGTGGGCTGATGTTTTCTGGACTTTTCTCAAATTCAGCTGACACAGTAGAGCAGCTAGACGTGTGCCTGGCTCAAGTCGCTGTCCTCACAGTCGCTTAACAGCCTTCTGTCAAGCTCACAGCCGAGGTCCATGCTCTTTTCTTTCTAGGTGAGCAGAGGAACTCCTGGGGCTTGAAGAAGACAACTGTGATTGTGACATCAATGTGGGAGAGACAGCCTCATCTCCACCTTGACCTGGGCACTTCCTCCATCCCAAATCCTGCCCTCTAAAACAGTTTTAAGTAATAAAATTTCTTTAAATGTGTTTTTAGCCCCAGTGGAAATGCAAAGAGAATGTTAGAGAGATGTATGAGGCATTAATTACTCAAATCCGACTGGGGAGGGGAGTGTCGGGGGGGGGGGCTGTTTCTATGAATGAATGCACTTCATTAATTTTTTCCTCCAGCTCTTCCTGTTTCCCAGATATAATCTATTTTCTCTCATCCCAGGGGCAACAAAAGGACAACAAAAGAAGGATTTGGTGATTTGAGATTCCAGAACTTCTCTCTGCCGAAAAATAGGTCAGAATGTTTACTTATTTATTACTAGAGGAGTGAAAGTTTTAATTCCATGACAGATAAACTGACTATCACACATACACAGAAATAGACACACACACACACACACACACACACACACACACACACATAATAACACACAGACACACACATGCACAGCATCATACAAAGAGAAACTCACACACACAGACTCACACACAGAGAGAGAAATTCACACATAGACTCACACATTCACATACAGAGAGAATCAAATATACACAGACTCATGCACACACACACATACACAGAGAGAGACTCACACACAGAGAGTCACATACACGTACACACAGACTCATACACACAAAAACAATGTTATTCTCATTGGATTATTTCACAGAAGTGAAGAAAGGACTTGAGGTGGGTTGGCCAGACAGCTAGTGTATGACCACACCTTGGCTGATGGGGCCCTGGTCTCCACAGCTATGTTGGCCAGGTCCTCTTCTACAGTCCACACACTGGGATAATGGGTTGTAGACACTAAACTGAAACCTGGTGCTTGGGACATGTGACTCGCCCAAGTCCTCTGGAGGTGGTCTCTTTTCCCAGCAGTACCCAAGACCTCCTTATCTATCAAGTGCTGACACCCTCACCTAGATCACATTAATCTTCTCCATGTGTTCTCCAGGCCCTACCATGTGCCACTCTGCCGCAGCTCTGAGATCCTAAGGCACGCTGGAGCAAGTGAACTCCCTCTGCACAGCCAACAAATGCCCTCGAGACAGAATAGACAAGTTATTTTTCACAAACATTTTAAGAAAAGGGAAATTTGTAGCTGCGCTCAGACTTCTTTAATGTTTACATTACGCACATTTGAATAATGCATTTTAAGTCTGTTTTTCTTATTTCTTGACAAAAGCAAGAGATGAGAAATGGAAGGGTTAGAAGCCTTCCTTCCAAGAGAGAAGGTTGAAGCAATTACATACATCAAAGTAATATTTACAGTTACATTTTGGGGGGAAAGACAGAGAGGAGAGTGGTGTTGTTTTTTTTCCCCTTTTTTTTTCAGAAGCAAATTATTTCAGGATGTGTCATAGCATGCTCAAGATATATTAAAAAAGAGCAACTGATGATGCTTCTGCAACCTGTTCCAGGCCATTTATAAACCAATTTTTTTAAATTCCCATATTCACACAAATCTCTGTACCACTGCATATTTTATAATGAAAGCATTATATGAATATAAATTAGTTTTTGAGATATATAAATCAAATTAAAATGTCTGAAAATGACATATTTCGGTCCACTCTCTTACTTTAGTATCTGTTAAACCAATGTGTTCGTTTCCCATAAAACTACAATCACTGGCATTGAGCAATGGAGGAGGGGGAAGCTGCCGATGGGCAGCGTCACCATACATATCAAGTCCTCTGGGCCTGAGCTAAAATCTCAGCCAACCTGCTAACTGATAGTATGGCTTCCAGCAGCTCTCCCCAGCTGTGGACTTTAGAAATGTTATTTGGGAAAAGCTGGTTCTTCTTTATAGCTGAATCTCCTGCACTCAAGACAGTGTGATATTTGGAGAGTGAATCAATGGTCTCTGTACCATTCCTGGACCATAGTAGATTCGCAATAAATAATTATTGAGTACTTAATATATGCTAGGTTGCACCTTAAGAGCTTACTAAGTAGCTCTGCACTCTGCCAATCATATCCTCAGTCTCCCATCCAAGAGTGAGAAGACTAAAAAAAAAAAAAAAAACCCTGGGTCTATCCAGCTAGTTGTAACATGATAAACTGCAGAGCCATCTTTATTAATGAGATAGAAAACAGCAATGGTGCTCACCTCTTGCTGCTTTCACATCGTTAAGCATGGTATTAACTCTCCATCTCAAGCATCCACCAAGTTCTTGGTAAGGTGCCTTGCCAAGCTTAATGCTAGGGCACACATGAATGGTATGATGCAGGCTATGCAAACCATTCCCACATCCATAATCTGCCTACAATACTAAGATAACAGAGTCCTGCAGCCTTTCAAGGTATTTGCCTGGCTGCATTGCCAGCAACCATTTCTCTTGTGTGCAATTTCCTGTGAACATAGAAGCAGAAACACTGGTGAGTGCCACACTCAGTCAGTATTGGGCACTAGCATGCACCACATACTCCAAGAGGAGTGTGTAAATACAACATTCACAAGTTTGATCTGAAACAGCTATCTTTAGTCCTATAATAAATATAGGATAATATAATAAAGATTTATTATTTTAAAAAAAGGCTAAGGAGGTGGCCCACTGTGCTCATCATCACAGAAATAGTAAGTCAGGATAGCTAGATTTGAATCAGAATTGAACTTCAAATCCACTATTACCCTAGACTCTAATGATCATCACACAGTTGGTCTCCTCTATCTGTGGCTCCCATCTATGGGTTCAGCCAGCCATAGGTCAGAAACATTCTGCACTGAGCATGTGCAGAGTTTTCTTGTTCTTATTCCCTAAGTCATGCTATCAGCTGTTTGTAGCTGAAGTTTTCCTGGTCTGCCTGGCCCACGGTCAGGACAAATCTCTCTCACCCGCCAGTCCCAAAGCCGCTCAGACCCAACCATGTAAACACACAGAGACTTCTATTGCTTGTGAACTGTATGGCCGTGGCAGGCTTCTTGCTATCTAGTTCTTCTATCTTAAATTAACCCATTTCTATTAATCTATAAGCTGCCACATGGCTTGTGGCTTACCAGTATCTTTACATGTTGCTTGTCATGGTGGTGTCTGGCAACGTCTCTCTGACTCAGCCTTTGTGTTTTCCAGAATTCTCTTCTCTGCTTGTCCCGTCTATACTTCCTGCCTAGCTACTGGCCAATCAGCATTTTATTTATACAGAGCGATATCCACAGCAGCTGTTTGCTTCATATCTATATTATATTAGTTATTATAAGTAATCAAGACAGATTTAAAGTCTACAGGAGTAATGCACAGGTTTGACACAAATATGAAAGTATTTGTTAAAGGAGATTTGAGCACCCTATTAGATTTTGGGACTCATGAAGATAAGGAGCTGAAACCAGTGCCCTGCAGACACCAAGGCATTGTGTTTGTTTTTCTGTTCCTAAGCATCACTAAATTTCTTCCTGCTGAGAATTCCCCATCAAGGAAGAACATGGGCATTGCACTCCTAGTTATCATACCACGTCCAGGATAAGGGTGATATCTCCTGCAATGATATCTGGAGGCTGGGCCTGGCACAGGCAACCTTAGCATCCCTACGAACTCAGAAAGGCAGATTCCCAGACCCCAAGAACCTGTGAGAGGTACAAGACTTGAGAGGCAGTCACCTGTGTTAAAATTAGCCCTCCCATGATTTTCAGATGCTCACTCAGACTTCAGAACCTCAGTCAGAAGTTTCGCTTCTGACAGCTCAAACCTGAGAACTAGAGTGATAGGCTTCTGGTCTCATCCCTGCTCTTCCATTCTGGCTGAATGGCATCCAATGGATGGAAGGAGGATTATCCCAAATACAGGATGGAGTGTGATGAAGGACCGTGATGTGAGAGTCTTTCCTACTATAATCATTTCTAACCCTTTACATGGTCTTTAAGGTCCCTGCATTGAGCCCTGGGGATTGTAAAATGAAGAACAAACAGCTCTAGCCATCAGAATGCTCAATCTGTGATGGGGTGGGAAGGTTGGGGAGCAAAAACACAAACGTATCACTCTTGTAAAGCAGTAAGCCATGTGCATGACAGAAGCTAAGCAGACCCTGTGGGGGCCCAGGGACATAGGATCTGTTGATCAACCAAAGGTTTTAGCCAAATCCAGACTCCAGCAAGTAGCAGACCCAACACTCTAATCCCTGTCTTCATTTTCCACAAAGGAATCCCCCTTTCCTATCCCAAACCTGTAGCAATAGCTCTCCAGGTGACAAGGTACAGATGGCTGTGACTTCTCAATGCCCTGAAGGGGCAGTCCTCACCTTTAGGAGGCAGGAGCTTCTTCTATTCTATACACTAGGACGCCCTCTGCTGGGCCTCTGAGACCATGTAAAAACAGGAGCTGGCTAGCACTATTGTCTGTCTGCTCTCCCAGACTCTGCTTTTCTCTTGTGCTACATAGCTAGCTGCTCCAGGACCTCATAGCACTGAGAGATCCCAGGGGTCACTTACTGCCTCCACTCCATGTACAGAAGATAGGGTAAGCTTCCAAGACATCTCACAAGCAAAACTTTCGCTGAACATCCAACACGCTCTCAGAGTATGCAAGCATCCACTGGGGTGTCTGCTATCTTTTCTCTGAGCCATGACAAGCTCTTAGGAGTAGTTGCCAGGTAAACATCTGATGAAAGGTACAAAGGAAATGTAAGGATAAAGTCAAGACCCACACGACAGCTTAATAATGCTGATTACCTGGGTTGTTGGAGACGTCACTGTGCCCATAGTCCTACAGTGTCAAGTGCGTACTGGATACTTAAATGGATGGCAAAAAGAACTCTAACCTGGGACAAGGGTGGAAGAGAAGGGAGAAGGAATGGAAGGCAGAGGCCAAGCAGGGAGGGTCAAAGAGAGGTGCAGAGGATTTCCAACTCTTCCTTTCATGGAAACAATGTCCCAACTAAAGCAAGTGACAAGGCATCCTGCTGTCTGACTTGCCTGCTGCAGTGCCCATCCAGCTGATCAACTTCGTCTTCAGTTTTCAGCCTTTGTCAGAGACACTCACTGCTTATCTGCAGAGGACGATAACTCTCCAGGACACACTGCCTGTCCTCGGAAGTCCATCAATAGAAGGAGCATGTCAATAACCACATGTAGTCTTCTAGCTCCACTGCCATATGTTACTAAAATAAGCAGTTACACACGAGCTGGAGCAGGGGTAGTTCAGATGGTTCCTAGGTAAGGGGAAGTTCTCGGAGATATGGGTGCTACCAAACATGGGGACTTCCCGAGACATTGGCCCCAAACAATGTTCGCCAATGAACCAGATGAAAAGATTCTGGACTTGAGTAGTGTCGAGTGTGTGACTGTATCTAATAGCCAC